TACAGATGTCTGATCTACTCAACAGCAATTGCATCACTTTTTCCCTTTTACTTCAGAATTTACTGAATCTAAACCATGCCTGGTATTCTTCTTTTTTGGCTTTTTTGGTTTTTCTTTGGCTTCTTGTAATTCCTTCTGAGTGAATTTGTACTGATAAACCTCTGAGGTTTTTTCTCCTCTTTAAACAGTAGCTTCTTTTGTCATGATCTTTCAATTGGATGTAGCTGATTTTTTTATTCCTGAAGGTTTTGCAAAATTGTCTCTTCCCTATCAGTCTTCAGTACTCTTCCATAACCTGACAGACTCCTGATCCAGTTTCTCGAGTTAACACCAAGAGGTGTTTCTTTTCCTTTCCCAGTCACTACCTGTAAAGCATTCTACTAAACTGGTTTGTGATGCTTCTTGCTTTCCTTCTTCCTTTCAAAAGCAAGTGTAAGGGAATAATAAAATACAACATACAGTTGGAAGACATTGCCTGAAAACTGTCATGTATCACTGAATCTGCTTTGATAATGTGGTCTTTCATAAGAAAGATGGACATTACAGCATAACCTTTTCCCAGACTGCTTTCTCTTTCTTAAGCAGGATGTGGAGAGGCTTGTTCAGTGGAATCATGAGAGTGAGACAATTTTTTTTTCCCCAGTTGTAACTTTGTCCGAGAAAGAAGGTTTTGGGAAAAGAAACCAGCTGTACATAAATTTGACAAACAGTTTTGTCTTGACTTAGCAACATTTGAAGATCAAAGGATTTCAAATGCATGAAAGTGGAATACCAGCTTTTAGATTGGGATAATGGTCTAACTACATTGCAAGAAAAAAACGAACTGTGAAGGTAATGAAATATACTTTATTAGACAGGATGATTGGGTGATATGGGGTGGACTATAGAGTTTCTGAAGTTTAGTGCAATAACTAGAAAGACTGGTTTAGCTCTTGAGGAGAGTGCAGCATGCAGAGGTGTAAGGTAAAACAAAAGGAATTTCTTAGTACAAGAAGGCATAGAAAGGGTTATCATTTATCATTTTAAAAACTTAGGAAATTTTAGTTACAGATTTGAAATCTGCTAGTGAAGAGAAGAAGAAATGCAGAGGTTCTGTTTCAATAACATTAACTAATGGGTATTGACCTGAGACAAGTAAATTCAAATTGATTTCTCACAAAGGTCAGCACTTGTTTATTATTCAATTTGAATGTCCAGGTTAGCAAAGAAGGCAGTCAAATCCTCTGAAAAACTGGCACTCTAATATTTAAGTGCTTTTAATGTGGTATCCAAAATTACAGGGCAGACAACCTTGGCTGTCTCTTTTTGTGTGTGTGACTGAGTGTTCATGAAGATATTCAGTATTATTATTGCATGTTACCTTAGTTCCTTGGAGAAAAGTTACATTTGAGATGATGTTCTCAGAACCATCACTCTGAGCACTGAACTTCTTGTATTTTTCTTCTTTAAATCAGTTTAGAGTCTTCTGATTTTTATTTTTCAGCATGTTTTTAGTTTGGAGAAATAAATTGGAAAAATTATGTCTACTGACCCAAATTACCAAAATATACTTCTTATACTGTGATTGCAACCATAATATAAGCTTTGTAAGCTAACTCAAGATGCTAGTATTCATTCTCTTTCTCTCTTTTCTGGATAGGAGAGAAGTATAAATTTCCTACATACAGCATGACAGCTCTTCAGAAGAGTTGAAAAATGAGTCTTGAATCCCATAGTTTAGTTTAGTTAATCCTGGTTAGACAATCACATTATTTAGAGTGCCATGCCTTTCTCCTTGTGGTTCATGCATACCTGTGGTCCATCAAATGTGCTTTTTCCTTTTGCACACTGACTGGACTTTTAAATGAAAAAGTCTAAAGGAACAGATCATCTCAGCACTTGATTGATGTCTCTGTTACTGTGGTCTTTGACAAGAAGAGTAATGAAGAGAAAATTCTTTGTAACCACTGTGAGCAATACTACCTTGTGATGAACATGCAGGCAGACTTCTTAAAGCTACGCTCCTTGCTTGTTTAAGCATTAACATAGACACTTCATTAGAAATTTGAAAACTTGGCCAAAGGTGTAGCTTTTCAAGGAGACCACAAAAGACCTCTGCCTGGAGCTGATATTCCCTCTTTTTTCCATTCCTTGAAATTTAAAGTCTTCTGGTTCAAGAGTTAGAATTTCTAAGGCTTCCCAGTGAAGTGGAAATTGGCCTGCCTAGGCTTTTCATATGGTGACTGTGTGCTTGCACATATATGGATGTGTTGGGTTTTTTTTTCCCTAAGAAGGGGAGGGGTGGATGGATTTTGAATCAGATTCATCACATTGGGAAAGATTAATCCAGTTACTTGTTTGCATAAGTTACAAGCAACAGATCTTTATAATACAAAATTTTAGGTCATCATGACTATTCAGACCTTACTGTTTCTCTGTGCTTATGATTATGCAAATATTTTTCTGTCAAAAATTATTGAAATCCTAATTTTTCGAGAAATGTTAACATCAACTTTACTGCTATCTAGATTTGATGAAAAGAAATCTCAATGGAAGGAGACTGCCTACATTAGAACATACAGTAGAAAACTTAATAATGGCATGGCACTTTCATTCTCTCTGAGGCTGGGGAATTAAAAATGTAAAAACACAACATTTCTCACGGTTTATGGCAATAGCACAATGAAAGCATGTTATTTAGATTAGTCACATACAAAAACTCAGCAGGATTCTATAGGATTCTGTCTCTAAGTAAACTTTATGAAAAGTCAATCATGCTCTTTTATTCATCTTCTTCCTATATATATAGACTCAGCATTCCAAGCATGCCAATGGTGTCTCTCTAGAGAAAGGGTATTTTATTAGAATTTGACAAAGAACATAACACCCAAAATGGTCAACAGGGCAACTATGTCTTGTTTCTAAATGTGGTCAAAATCAACTCCTGAACATCTCAAAGTCATCTGAAGTAGTGGTGTACTCCCCTGCTTCATGTCAGCTTGAGTCCAGGTAGAGTATGTTCAGATGTAAGCTTTAAATTGTTAAGTCACTTCCTTTCTAAAGTGACACTAACTGGCAGTGGTCTTTCCCCTAGCCCTGAAATTTCTTAAACCCAAATTTCTTATTTGATATGTTTAATTGATAAGTGAACAGCTGTGAAGTGATATGTCTATGAAGAGAATTAGGTGACAATGTGGGATTTGACAAGCATGCTCAGCCTAGCCTAGCTGCACACTTTTGTAGCACTACAGTTTAGATGTCTATAAAACGTTGGGTGATCAATAGCAATAGCAACGAGGTGCCATTGGATGTTGCCTACTGTCTTGTGTGGTTTTATGGAAATCTGTGGTCCTTTGAAGTTGGCAGCTGGGGTAGTCAAGTTCTTGGGGCTGTTCAGTTTTGCTAAGTCCTGGCTCTGTTTGGCCTTCTGTGAAACAAAATTATCAGAGGCCATTTCACATAGACTGCTTGAATTTCTGGTGGAAAGATCCTCTTGTCCCTTTAATAGATGCCTCATCTTCAGTGGCCACAATGCCTTTTCTCCATTCTAGGCTCCCTGAAACCGTGGTGAAACAGGGTATTTGTGCCTTTCACACTTCTAACTGGTTATGGAGATAAATCTTAAATGAGATTGAGGGGAAGTTGTGTGGTTTTTTGTGGGTTTTTTTTTCTAATTTTTGAGCTTGCTACACAGAATTTCTGTAAGCTGTTGGCAGTTCCAGTTGGAAGTGCTGCGTTCTTTGGCCTTCTTGATGTATTTGAATGACTGTAGTGACTTAATGTCCTTCACTCTGTTTTTCTGGTTGTTTGCCAAATTTTTTCAATTTATATAATCTTTTAAAGTCTTTTCTCAGGACCATCATCAAAAAGGAAATTTTGAACCCAGTCTTTAAAAGATGACACGATTTTGAGGTTCTACAACTTATTGTACACACTAATCTGTTTCTAGCAAGTTTTTACATTTTTGGAGTCTTTTAGAAAATTAATGTAAGTCTAGCAGTAATTAAAAGATGAAAGAAAATCACATTAAATACATTTTCACACAAGTCACATTCTTGATAGTGAAGAAAACCCGAAGTCCTTTTTCCCATTTGCTCAAAGCAGATCTTAAATTGCGGATCAAAAGTTCACATGCAGACTGGGCAGACTGATAAGGAATTAATCCCATCAATTGCTATTGAACACAACAGTAGCAATAGAGCTTTTGGCTCAGAAGTGATGTTAGATCTTCTGGCTCACAGGTTCAAACACTGCTCAGTGGGTGCTTGGAACATGTGTTGGTGGTGCACCATGCTGTGCATGCCCACGAACTTCTGCAAAAGCTTTTGCTGCTTGCTGTAGTTGCCAGCACAAGTAGATCTTTACTAACTGTAGATCTTTACTAACTGTAACCATTCTTTGTGATTTCATTTGGTGCTGTCACTGTACTTCAGACCTTACTGGGTATGATGAGTATGATGCCACTTTGAAAATTCAGTCTGGGCACCTCTAAGTTATTATCTTTCCTCCCCACCTGTTTGTTTTGACTGCCTGTGAAGAGGAAACTGGTTAACTGGGTTTGGCTTATGAGGAAAAAATTATTTTGACCAAGTGAATATTTCCATTTCTAAAATATTATAGGTTCAGAATTGAGTCCTGCATCACTTTGTTATGGGAGATAGGTTAGTGAAGGATTTGTTATTTATCTGGAAGTCTATTTTGGATGTTTTTGTATTTGAGGTGATTTTACTTTTAATTCAGTAATGAAAGATAGAGCTTTTATGTAGAGCTATAATTGGAAATACTTCCAGATACTTTACTGTATGGATTCTTACTGATATATGCATTGCAGATAGTTTCTTTGTATTCCAAAATGTTCCACACTTGACTTCTGCCCTTCTGTATAGATCCAGAATGTGATTCCCAATCATGGTTTCTTTGGTCCAGATGCTTTGCATATTACGATGATACATCCTCATTAATCATATAACAATAAGAATTTTAGTAAACACAATTTCTTTTTGTCTTGTTTTGTCTTGCAGGCACCAAGTATAGATGAAAAAGTAGATCTTCACTTTATTGCATTAGTTAATGTAGGTGGCCATCTCTATGAATTGGGTAAGAACATTTTTTATCCACTCTCTCCATTTGTTAGAAACAAATGTAAGTAGTGATGCTGTTAACTGTCCAAGGTTCAGAGATATTTCTTGATGTTATGTAGGGCTTAGGTTCTTTTCAGCTGCATCTGAGGGATCTGTGGATTTCTTTCAAAGAACTCTGCAGCCTACTTCCTGTTGGGGTAGGTTTTTTTTGGTGGTGTTTCTTTGTTTTGCTTTGGGTGTTTTTGGTTTTTTGTGGTTTGGTTTTCTTTTGTTCTCCTTCCCTCAACTCCATCATATTAAGATAAAATGGTACAGAATACTAGACTACTTTCAAATTTATATGGGCATTTATAAGGACAGGAAGCAAGAAAAAGTAATAAACACTCAAAATTTCACAGGGCATTTGTTATATTTATATTCCTGAACTTCTTGTGGAAGTGTTAAATAGTAACTGTGTGCTACTTCAGAAATGTTAGCTATATTATTAAGTGATACCGTTTAAACTCAAAGTATTTAATCAGGGTACTAAGAGATATTAATATTCTGCATCTCATTTGTAATAGTCTGGTCATTTTTTCCTCTACTTTTCGTGGTTAATAGACATTTAACTGTGCAACGGTAGTCCTTATTTTTTGAAATACAGCTTATTTTTCCCTCTTCAGGTTGTGTAGCACTTAGTTTTGCTTAGATATTCTCTAATGACTCCAGTCTTAAATATGTTGCTGGGAAACTAGGTTTTCCAGCAGGCTCTTCAGAAAACCAGCAGATCAGCATTTAAAAACTGCAAGTCACTGATTTTTCCTAACATAATTTTTTGCAGTATTTTATGGTGATAAGATTTTCATCTTTTGAAAATCATCATTGATCAATGCTCTTACCAGGTGATAAGTAATCACAACATGGGGCATAAGCAATATAAAAGAAGTGCTTATGTTAATATTAAGTTGATCCAAGGGGTATTCCCAGGGATAAGTTATAACCAATAGGCACACATTTTTGTATTTTATGATGCTGTGTGTCTGTCAGTGGACTGGTTCAAAAAGGTAAGTTCTGTAGGATGCAATAAATATTTCATGGATCTAAATTTCAAGGCACAAGGGATGACTTACACTTTTTTTGGTTGTATGCTACTATTTCAGTAACACATTTTCATTGTTGATTAATTTATGCTGCTTAAAAAGCAGACTACGTTCTATGATGACCATGTTTACCTGTTTTCTGTAGGTATGATGAGGGAGAAACCCCATTTGAATTTTTCCTTGAAATAAAAAATTAGGAGAGACATTTAGCTCTGTTGTACAGTGGAATGTCAATAGTGTTATTTCTTTTGTTCTTAAAATAACTTCTCTCTGTACCAGCGGAAGGAAACAAAAAAAAACCCAACTTAAAAGTAGGAAAATGGAAGTTTTTCCAACTCATTGGAAGAAGGTTATTCAATTGACTCACTGGCTTTAGACAGTGTGGGCAGCAAGGGGGGTTTGGCATGCTAAGGAAGCACATGGATATTAAATGTATATGATGTTTTTTTCATAGAAAACACATTATTTATAGGCACATGAAATTAAAATGTTATTCTGCCAATAAGGACATAAAAAAACCACCCAAATTAAGGTAAACTTAGCTTGTAACAGTGCAGGGTATTCACTTCTGTTTCCCTGGTATTTTCTGAGGGTTTTGCTTTTTATCTTCCATTGGTGAACAACATCTTGTTCGTATAAATCCAAAAGTTTTCTAACATTAAATCTATTTTTAGTTATGGAAAATGTAGTTTGGAAGTCTTGTCAACTTTGGTGGCATCTTTGGGGATAGCAAAGCCTTTTACATGGAAGACAGAGCCAAAAGTGATTTTGGTTTAGCAAATAATTAGGATATGCTGACATTTATATGGATGAAATTATTTTTTAAATGCTGAAATGCAAGCATTATTCTATTTGAAATGCAAGGAAAAAAACTATAAAAAAATAACTGTAGTAACCATGTTTAAATGCTGTGAAAGTTCCTAATATTTAGAGCTGTTTGGTTTGTTTTCTAATTTTAAATGGCAGAAACATTTTCAGTGATGCCAGACACTTCAGTAAATGGTGGATTTGCTACTCTGGTGGGTTTTGGAGTTCCTGTTTGCAGCTGTCTGTCTGCGTAAATCCATCAAGGGTAGCTGAAAATTTTCTACTCTACTTGAAAAATTGAAGTACTATACCAGCATCAAAACAACAGTAACTTACAGCTTTGAAGTTTTCAAATTAAATATTGAAAAATATTTCAATGTTTTGATTGGATTATTTTTTAAAAGCAACAGACTGTATATAATGATACTCATAGAAGCAGTCAGCAGTGGAGAGATCAGGGAGCAGCTAGCTGCATGTGTGAACTTTATGGAAAATTAGATAGCATTTTTGAAAGTGAAGTACAAAAAATCTGTTTCAATAGTTTTAACTAGAAAAATGAAGTTTTTATAATTTTATAAATGTGTTATTCAATCCTACTTTGTCTTTCAACAGATGGGCGCAAACCATTTCCAATAAACCATGGGGAAACCAGCGATGATTCTTTTTTAGAGGTAGGGATAGAGAACCTTCTTAAATGTTGTTTTACTAAATTCTTGCTGTATTTCCACAAAACTTATAAAATAGATATATGGAAATACCTATACAAGTCTAGCTATATTTATAGTTGGATGAGCAATAGAACAAGTGGAATGGTGAGGCAGAATTAGGTTTGAAAAGAGATACTTTGGAACACTTACATTGTGGGTCAGGGTGTCAAAGTATCATAGCATAAATGGGTTGTTTATAACCCAAGATTGAACTGATTTATCTTCTGTGCTTAGATTTTCATATACTCCTGGTCCTTTCAATTAGTACATCTAACAAGAAGTTAGTAGATTGAAAACTTAAAATTTTTGTTTCTTTTTTATTTGGTTTATATTTTGATAGGTGTCATGCTAGACAGAAGTAGATTTTCTTTCTGATCCTTGCTAATAATCATTCTTCACCACTTTCACAGCTTCTTTTGGGTGCTTCTTTGTGTCATGAGCTGAGAAATTAATTGGAAAGGGCTACACTGAGTTGGAAGGATAAACTGTCATCCCCACAGAATGATGCAAAGTTGAAGTTGAGAGAAGGCAGTGCATAGATCTGAGTTTTATGATATCAAGACTGGATTAGCATTACAAAAGGAAGAAACCAGAGAAACTAAAACAAAAAAAAATCCAAAAAGATTTTATATAAAAGACTAATATCTGTAAAGTTTGCAAACAGTTTGTGTTTGCTTGGACAGGGGAAGAAATTGGATAAATCTTTCCTTGTTCCTTATGTGTCTTTTTCCTGTTTTTGCTGATAACATGTGTTCTCCAGATTGCACCCTAAAGCTAGATGAAGGAATTACTTAAAATCTTTCAATTGCCCCACCCAGCTTAGATTCATCTTGAAACAAAGGAAAAATTTCTGAAGGCAGCAATACTAGCTAAGGCAAACTTCAGAGGTGCATTTAGAAAGTCAGACAAGCAACACATCTGCTGCACAAAGTAATGTTCAGTCACAAAAATCATCATTGCTAAGGCCCTTCATAAAACTTTTGCTCTTTTAGGCTGCCCATATGAGCACTGTAAGTAATCTTGAGTAGTGGTAACTTACATCAGAAATACAGTTTATATAGGTTTGTCTGCTTCGTTTACTATTTAGTAAACCTTTATGGAAAAATCCATTTTGAGCATAGTTTGGATAAAGCATATCTTCATATTTCAATTGTGTTTTGTTTGGTTTTTCATAACAAATATGATTTATACTGTTTTTCATTTTGGGTTTCTTTGTACTCTTTTCCCCCTAGGATGCAATAGAAGTTTGCAAGAAATTCATGGAACGTGACCCTGAAGAATTAAGATTTAATGCAATTGCACTGTCCGCAGCTTAAAAGCCTTTTCCAGTGAGGCAATTTTATTGCAATGTATTGTAAGAATAAAACTGTTGCCATATGTTAATAGTACAAATTTTGATACTTCCCTAACATCTTGACTAATTGTAGCATACGTGGAATAAACTTTGCATTTGTCCTTGCTATATTTTGCTGCTTGTTCCTACAGCAACTTTTGGTCTTTCTATACAGGCATGCATTTTGTGCAAGATTTCTATGTGGTGGGTTTTTTCCTTTCCACCCCCTTAAAAGTTTTGGGAATTTCTGTCTGTGATATTTCCTTGTAATAATGATGAACTGCTTCAGAGCAGGATTATCATTTGTATCATGCACAGGTAACATTCTGAGTGGAGTATGTATGTGGTATGGTAATGGCTGAAAACTTGGAGTACAAGGTTATCTCCATCTTTTATTTATAATGGTGCAAGAATATTATAAGAACTTCTCCAGGTGATTCAAGTGACAAAGATGTTTTTTCAGTGCATTATTTATAAATAAATATATGGAAGTAAATAGGCAGAAAAAGGACTATTCTTACTGTTGGGGAGCACTAACATTTTAAAATTATCTTAATGTTTACATTTTGAATAAAACTTCACTTTGTTTCTCAAGTCTAATAATGTTAATAAATTGTCAAAAAACTTTAGTTAAGCCAATGTTTGCTATTTGTATATGTGGAAAAATGATGTGGATTTTTTTCCCTTGAAAAGGCACATTAAGTAATTCAAATGGTAGGACTGTGTAGGGCACACACAGGTGACTACAGTAATGTGAAGTACCTCACCTAATTAAATAAATGATAGAAAAGTGATGATTGTCGTAATGAAGTTTTGTTTAGCAGCAACAAAACAGACTGGAGATTTTAAGGCAGCCATGAAGGTAAAACACTTTTATCCCCTGTAGGAATATCTATTGTAAGTTTGTCAGGTGTCATTACTGAATGCTATATGATAGCCTTCCCCTGTTCCATCCCTCCCACTCCCCCTACTGATCTTAAGGTACTGTTAACCAATTTCTATACCTGAATTAGTAACACTGTGGTTGTTTTGAGTTTGATTTTGCTTTGGGTTAATGTGCATGTTTTTGACATTCCAGAAAAAATATTCCTTATTCACTCCTTTGAAGTGGAATAATTTAAGTTTGCTTCAAATCAAACCCTCTGTCAAAGGAAACTGAACCCTCCACATCCCAGAGGGCGCCTTCATTCTCTATCAATTGTCATTGCAGGAAAAAGGAATGGTGTTATGCCAGAAGCACTCTGGCAGTTCTTTTCCTTCTTTATAGAAAAGAAAGAGGCCTGGGAGTCTGTCTTATCACTTAAGAACATCTCTTGCACTCTAAAGAAAAAGTTGGAGTGTCTGTCTACAACGTGTCACTGGGAGAGTCCAGTAACAACAGTCTGTTTTCTATAAGTGAGCTGGTTGGAAAAGCAAAGGGAGAAGAATTACACTAATGAGCTTCTATTTTTGAAGCCTTTGCTTTTTCACCCCAATAAAATGCAGTATCATTAAGACTTGCTTTACATTGCCATGCTCATTAGTAAAGCCCTGAAACTTGCTTTTAAATAAAAATCAGAGGCTTTAGGAACCAAACCAGCTGTGTTGCCTTCTTGCTAATATCAGCAAAATCAAATAAAGATTGTCACCACTGGATTAGGATATTGCATATTTTAAGCTAATGGTGACTTGCAGGATTACCTTTCAAGTAAGCCATCGTTAATATAGATAAGGCCCTTTTAGGATAGGGAGGTGGGTGAGGAAAGATAGGAAGTACAGTTCAAAGCTGTTAAACAAGCTACATCAGTTGTCTGCTCTATGGAAATGGCCTCATCATATATGATCTTCAGTGTTCAGAAGATTTCAGTGAGTTTAAGTAGTAAATGGTGTGTCTCTATTTTTGTGTAGCTGTTTATTGCAAAATCCCTTCAGACATGGAGCTTCTTGTTCGATAAGAGGACCGATTAAACAAATTCAGAACAAAGGATAATAAGGTTAGAATAGTAAAGTTGGGGTGGGATTTTCTGTGGTCACGATGAAAAATACATCTTGAATCTTAAGTAAAAACTCATAAATAAGAATTCTTAGTATTTTTGCAATATTATAGTTTTGCTTAACATTTACATAGCCTTCAAATCAGTTGTTCTGCAGGGTAAGGTTTCCCTATTTTATTTTCAGTGTTAATTTCTGTTTTATTAATATGTAAGATGGTAGGTTTTAGTGAACACTGCTTTGAGATGCCAAAGGAAGAGCAATGCAATAGTTTTTAGGCTGAACTGTATCTTTACACTGCATGGTCCCTTGGTAGAAACTGTGAAAGACTGCAGTGCAGAAATACATCTCACCTGACATGTAGAGTGGAACAGCCTTCCAAGAGCTTGTGTGACCGTGCTTTGGCACAGGCTTCGGCACTGTCTCGAGGAGCACAGGAAGTTAAGAGATCTACAAGCTGCTGCAATATGGATCACTGACAGAACATGTATAGTGTGGATAAAAAAAGGGAGGTATGAACACTTGGCTGACTTGTAAAGTCAAGCAAGCTCCTGATTAGAGGCTGATAAACCCTGCAGACCCCATGGTGCTTTTGGCTCTGCGATGCCCCAACGCCTGCATCATCGCCTGAGCTGTGCAATCTCTGCTTATTAGCTCAAGCTCTGTGGGAAAATAACACTGTATTTTCTAACTTGTGCAGCCCTGCCAGAGCCTCAACACCTTTGTGTGGAGGAACGTGGCTTGGCCACGGGCATGCAGTGCCAGGAAATCCCTCTTCAGCCTCTGCAGTCTGGGCTGGCTGTACACACCATCCTATGGAAATGGTGTGTGTAGGAGTGAGGAGATGACGCATGCTCCATGCTTACATTAATTTTAGCTGAGTGGAGCTGGTGTGCTATTAAGTACTCAGGATTGTTCAAGCTCTTTTAAGTATATTGGTGCAAGTTTTCCTATGTTATTTACAGACATTTTGTTAAGAAATCATGATTTAACAACCAGTACAATGCCCTTTCCTTTCAATCGTGGCTGCATGATTCAGTTAAGGGAAGAGGAAGAAAGTTGTTTTTTGACATTGAAATGTATGCTTTGGAAAATAAAGTCACTTAACAGCCTACACTGACAAAATAAATATGGTCATTCCTTAAAGAAAGAAGCCTGCCTTGGTAGAAAATATTATTATACCAAATATTTCTAAAACTGTCCTTGAAAAGAATATGACGTAAATTATTGCTTGACTTATCCCTAGGAGCACACACATTGAAAGGGTTTATTTTTGTCAAGTAGAACAATATCATGTTTGCTACTCTTGACAGCAACAATTAGCATTTGTATCTGGTATATGTAATCTTTCTCTGATCTGGGACTCTGGTGACTTACATTGTTAGTGCAAAGGAATAATAAAACTATTTTGGTTACTCAGGCTTACACAGATAATTTATCTGTGACAGTTGATTTAAAATTCACTTTGAGAATGAGATTTACATGTTGGAACTTTTTTTACTTAGTGAGGAACTTCAACTTGAAAGTTACTGTGATCCATGCAGTCTGCTTAAACACGTAATCAAATGACATGATTACGCAAATCACTTGATTTAAAACATTAAATGCTTCATTTGTAAGAAAAGTGATTGATTTGTCATGAAGTGAAATAAAGCAACCAGAAATAAGTGAGATTTTTATTTTTTTTTTAACAAGACCTCTTTTGAAGCCTGTTTTATAGAATTCTTAGTTACTTTCTCCTACTTAGGAACAAGCACTGTATTTTTAGATGGAGTGAAAGACCTTAAAAACTGGAGAAAGGCTGCTGTAGTTGTCCAGAAAAATGTTTGGTAACATCAGGTAATGCAAACTGATGTCAGCCAGCAGCAGCAGCTGATACATGTTTCATTTAGACATTTTTAACCTTTGTAATCATAGATGTTAAATAGTGAGATGAGAGGGTTGTTTTCTGATGTTCAGGCTTCCCACTCAAGAAAAATGCAGATTCTTCATTTGTATTTGGTCTTGTGGCTGCTCTGGCTTGGAACAGGAAAAAAGGGTAAGGAAAAACCCCTCAAAATTACAGCTTTGGTTATCATACTATTCTTTGCTGGCTCTATAGCATAGCATAGATGTCTCAAATCATACTATGATGAAGAGCTAACTACATAACTTCTATGCATTTGTAACTTTAATAAATGTCAAACATCTCCCATGGAACTTATTTCAGCCAGAGTCACTGCATTTTCCCTCCTGTGTGTAACAGCAGCAACACTGACTTGCATATACTGCAGAAACTGATGGCTCATAGCTTCTTGGCTTTTTGATCTCCTAAATTTCTTCTTCCCCATTCTAAGAAGGTTTTTTGTTAAAACAGAAAATGTGTTCCCAAGTAAACATCTCAGAAGAAATGAATCTGTGTGTAGTACAAGTTTTAAGTTATCTTTTGTCAGTAACCCTTTAAAAATTGCGTATGTTGTGCCATGGGCTATAAAAGCAAAATATGCATGCAGCAACTCAGTTTTACTTACAGAGAAAACATGGAAAGAAAAGATACTACAGAAGAATCAAGTAGGAAAGATCATGGAATCATGAAGGTTGGAATAGACCTCTAAGATCACTGAGCGCAATGTTAAACTAACATTGCCATATTCAACACTAAGGCACGTCCCCAAGTACCACATCCACACATTTTGATCGCTTCCAGGACTGGTGATTCCCCTCCCTCCCTGGGCAGCTTGTGCCAGTGCCTGACCGTGCTTGCTTTGAAGATACTTATCCTTTTATCCAATCTAAACCTCCCCTGGTGCAACTTGAGGCCATTTCCTCTTGTCCTGTTGCTTGTTACCTGGGAGAAGAGATTGAGCTCCCCGTTGCCACACCCTCCTTTCAGACAGGAGTAGAGAGTTTAAATAAATAATAAATGGAACCTAGTAGTCCAGAAGTCCCAAACAAACCAAAGCCAAAACACAACAACCTATTGTTGTGGATTAGTATTACAGAAAATGGCTCTTTCCCCCGATACTTAACTTTTCTGCTTAGCACTTGTCCGCGCCTGTATTGGAAGAAAGGATTTCACCGTGTTCAGCCTGCAAACCATCTCTCTCCTGTCTCCCGTGCTTCGGTCAGGGTGGATGACCCTTTGCTGAAGCACAGCGTGATCCCAACCTGCCCCGTTTGCGGTCACCGCAGTGGGCAGAGCTCAGCGCAGCTCCCCCCCAGGTCCACGGACGGACTGAGAGCTGTAGCTCTGAGCCTGGGACAGCGTGTGGGGTGGAGGAGTCGCAAAAAGGCTGCTGCAGTGAGCCGGGGACGGGGACACGAATGAGTCAGAGCCATGGGCAGAGTGTGGGTAGTGTGAGCTAAACCAGAGGTGAGGCCAAGGGGCTGGGGAGGAAAGCATGGAAGCCGAGTCGTGTGGCTCCAGCTCAGCCAGGGCGCCTCCGCCTCGGTCACTTTGTACGAGAAGGGCTCAAAACAAAGTGTGGGGCTCTCGTGTCTTTTCCCGTAGCCGTGGAAAAGGCTCCCGACTTCGTCCCCAAACGGGGCAACGCTGCAGAGCGTGGAGCCGCTTCCCCGCGATCGCGGCGCTGCCTGTGCTCGGCCGGGGAAGCCCCCCGGGAGCGGAGGTGAGGGAGGCGGCCC